GAAGACTTGAGAAATATCAACCTCCAGTCATTTTTTTTAAAAATAAAATATCCAAAGGAGTGAAACAAAGTTGTTTCCTCTGGCTTTTAGCCAAAGGGTGGAAGCAGGTAATCTGTGAAGTTCACATGAAGGAGAAGTTTCTAAAGGAGCTGTTAACTTAGAAAATTTCTCCACGAGAGAAGGGGCGTGCAGGGGAAGGTTCTAGGCCAGGACTTGTTGCCCACACGCTGGGTCAGCAGCTGCCCAACACTGGTTTCTACCGGTTTGCCTTTGACTTGCTGTGGATCCTCAGTCATCTGACCAGAACAGCAGCTCAGTGTCTTACGTTAATTAAAAATTAATTCCATCCTCAAGAACCCTTTGCTAAGGGCATATGTCATTTTCCTGGGTATTCATCTTGCTCTGCAGGTGACATTTATATGGGAACATGAAAGTGTGGGTGGGGAGGCTGGCCACACCTCCCATAGATTATGTTTGCATGTCTCTGTCAAGGGTGGATGAAGTCAAACATTTTTCTCTTCATCTTTAGGACTCTCTTGCCTTAGGAAAGAGTGAAGAAGAAGCACTCAAACAGTTTAAGCAGAAATTTGATGAGGCCCTCAGGGAAAGCTGGACTACCAAGGTGAACTGGATGGCTCACACAGTTCGCAAAGACTACAGGTCTTAGCATCGGCCTTGGCTCCCAGTGAACTTGTCAGTTTGTTTCCTTTCCATTTTGCACTTGCACTAAACATGACCCTGCCAGAAATGCAAAGGGAATGAAATCCTGAAACCCAGAGTGAAATCAAGAATGAGGCCTCCCACAGAGCCTGATCTGAACCATCCCGATGCCCACCGTGTTTCTCATCCTGAACATTGCCAACAGACAGCATGGAGGACCCTTTCCTGCTGACCTTGCACGCCGAGGAATGCTACTAAGGACTCTTTGGGATTTTTTTTCCTTCAGTATTTGGTACTTTACCAGAGGTGTAAATACTTCTTTTCAGTGTTGTGACCAAGTGCTGACACTCAGCCAACAACTCACCATAACATTTGGGGGCTGGAACTGTTCTGACTGTCCAAATGAGGCTTCAAAGAAAGGTATCTCCCTTCCCTTTTTAAATTATGTAAGCTACAAATTACATTGATTATGTTGAATTTAATTATTTTTTAAAGGAAATATTTTAAATCTGTGAAAACTCACTAATTTTGTTAATATTTATCTATCATGATAGCATCATTCCAGCCAGACTTGCTGAGAATCTATTGGTGGGGCAAATATAATATATATATATATCTATATATATATGCTGCATATATATTTATAAAATTTCTAGTGGGAGTTCTATATAAAAAGATGTTTCTTTGGTATTCTTCAGCCTGTGTTTTAAAGTTTTACAAAAGCAGAGCTTTTCCTAAGTTACTTTTCAGTTGACCGTGGATCCAGGTCTTCCATCCGCTTCAGTCCTGAGGCACATATGAATGCAGTTTCTCTGCGTAGCTCTGAGAGTTCATCTCATAAAACACAATACTTGAGCAGATGTATCCAAGGAAGCGAGCAGATGAAAAGGAATCTATTTATGGAATAAACTCCAAACCCAAATTTCAGTATTTTAGTAATACGCCAGCTGTTCTTACTGTATTTATTGAAATGTATAATAATGTGATTTTTTTTCAATGGTATTTGTTGAAATTGAAGTGGATTCATGCCACATGGGAATCTTAATTTATTTGTTGAGGTACCATACAGTTAGGGTGCTAGGTGACAAGTGATGCTAACATGTGCAATAGGAACTACTGGTTGGTGTGTACATGGATGTTCTTCCTGAGTAATGGCGGAGTGCTCGCCTTAGCAGCACACATATTGAGTACTGTCAAGATCCAGCAAAACTACTGCTTCTTCTCCAAAGAAATGGGGAGCCCTCAATCCTCAGTGACATGGGAAAGACAACTGAGTACTTGCCCTGTGACTTCAGTTTTCTATAGGAATTTTATTAAAGATTGTTTAATTTTGTTGTCCTTCTTAATGTTCTCTGTCAAATAAATGGGTGGTTTTGGCTGTTTGGGGACATGTGGGCCTTTCTCTGTGAGAAACACAGAGTCTTCGGAACCTGCTGCTATTGGAATGCTCCCAAAATGGACACGTCAGTAGAGAGACCAACCTCAGGAGTGGGCTGAGGTTCAGGACCTCTGCCCAGCTTCCCCTTGCTCCACCATGGACAGTCTTGACGGTCTCTTGGACTGATGGAAGCCTAGGGGGCGGGGGTGTTTTCGTCAGTCTGCTGTTGTAACCTCAGCTCGCTGCCTCTACTGCATTCATGTGCACGTATGTGTGGGAAAGCGGCCAGGGTGGTGTGGTTCAGTAGGTAGATACAGACAGACACTCCATCTGTGCTTGCTGAGTTGCTTGTCTGAGAAGAGAAGGCTGAAGGCAGAAAGCTAGCCACCCTCTAGATTGAATTAGCACTCTAGGCTGTACAGATACCGGCTTGAACAAGGACTGGCTAACCCACGTTTCTCTACATCCTTAAATGCCTCACTTGTTACATAACAATTTTCTCTCTCTGACTCTGAGCCAAAGGCCCAGACTTCTTCCAGGTTGGCTTTGAGAACTTGGTAGTAGTATCATCGGGGGATGTCAGGCTAGAGTTAGGTTGCCAGGAAGCATGGCCCTACAGATAGTCTAGAAGCCACTTTGTCAACAGCGATTATTCTCTGTCCCAGGGTGTATGTTACTATGTCTCATAATTTATTCAGGTTAATCAATTCAAGTTTGAGTGTTAGGTATTTGTAACCCTGGCACTTGGGAGAAGCAGGAGCTCAAGACCATTCTGAGATGCAGTGAGTTTGAGGGCACTCTGAGCTACACCAGACCCCGACTCAAAACAACTATCAAGTAGAAATGGTTTCTAGTATTTTCTAATTCAGTTTTCAGAAGTATTGATATTACTGCCACTGTAAGATTGGGACTTCTGCCCACAAGCTAATTCCTGTTTCCTTCAGTGACTGAGACACCCTAACAATGCCGCTTAATCTCCCTTAGTTCAGCAGGTCCTCTTAAGTCTTAAAGTGGTTGATACATCTACCTTAACCAGCTCCTGTCTTGGTCCCATAGGATGTACTTAAACCCAGGCTCTGTGTCTCAGCCTCTGCCTGGGGTTACTTGGCATTCTTGGAAATGCCTCTATAAGATTGGGCTGTACTAGTGATTGTTGTGGAGGGGTCAAACCATGTGGGTGGTACCACCTCTGGGATAGTGGTCCTGGGTGCTATAAAAAGTAGACTGAGCAAGCCAGGGAGCAGCACGCCTCCATGACTTCGCTTCAGTTCCTGCCTCTGGGTTCCTGCCCTGCCTGAGTTTCCGCCCTGACTTCCTTCAGCAGTGGACTGTGATGTGGACTGTAAGCTGAAATAAACTCTTTCTCCTCCAAGTTACTTTTTGGTGATGGTGTTTTATCAGAGCAGTAGAAACCATGAGGAGAAAAATACACCCTCCTATAGCAACTGAGGTTGGAATAATTGTCATCTTATTACCCACTTAGTAAATAAGCTGGAATAGACAGTTGCTCATTCCTGAGGGAGTTTAGATTTGAGTTCAGAAGCCCCCTGATGTGGAAGGCAGGACTTTCCCTCCCTCTAGTTTTCTCTGCAGCGGTGTCTGCTCTGTGGCTGTGTCTTAGAGCACCTACCTCAAGGTCGCCGGGCTGATCTCCACTTCCCCGCGTTCTCCTCCTGTTACCTTCTACTCTCTAAATCTTCATTAGACAGTATGACAGAAGTGAATGGCCTCGATGCTTGGTCCTTTGCTTCATAAAATATGATGAGGTAAAGATTTAAATCCTGAATACTGTGGACCTGTATTGATAACTGGTAGGCTCTCGTTTCCTGGGCTAAGAGCGGGTTCCCAAGGCCCATCAGACCATCTTCCAGCTGTATTCAGACTCATCTTAAGTCAGCAGGATTCTACACACGTCAGATTAGAATGTCCTGGAGTGTGGCTCTGCCATTGGTTTAAATAAAGTGAGTGTTCTCCACATAATCTTACTGTACAGCCAGTATTGCAACTAAATTATTTATCTTCCTGATTAATTTCCCCTGTACTTTCTGGCCCAATACAAAGGATTTAATTACTTACTAAGTGCCAGGCAGGAATCTATCTCTATCTCTTTCTCCGTGTGTGTGTGTGTGTGTGTGTGTGTGTAATTTTCATAGCAACTGTGACCTGTAGGGGCCTCCTCTAAATGCCACCCAGATCCCAGATGGTGACCACTCCTGTCCCAGGTCTTATTCCTACTGCATCTCAGCTACTGCTTTTTTGGTGCGCCCTGAGTTTCTCTGCAGTCCAGTGGGCATTGTCCAGGAAGAACAACCCAGAATGAACAAACAGAAGAAGCTCTGAGGGACCTATCGCACTGCAAGCTCTCTGAGTACCCGCACCTCCCACCCTGCACCCTGTCTGGTACCTTCGCCCAACCCTGCCTAGTCCCACTTTTAAATCACTACTTCATGTTGACCAACTTCACTGGTAGAATAATCTTTAAAACAAATCTCCAAATCCCCGAGTCCCAGCTGCAAGTTTGGGATCTTTATGAAAGGAAAATCATCTCATGCCGTCTTCTTCAGCTCACCTGCCTCAGGAAGAAGACTGCTAATGCTGCTGCCCAATCCTTTCACTTCCTAGAACCCCAGGCCAGGCTCTGCAGTGAGCAGCAGAAGGTGGCACAGATGACCGGAGATGTCTACCGGGTTGACTTTGTGGGGCGAATATAGTATGGGTGCAGCAGCGTGGATTACGTTTGGTTTCTGGAGGGAAGTCAGGGGCCAGGAGAGGATGAGGGGTACAACTTCTAGACAACTGAACAGGTTAGGTCAAGGGTCCAGCTCAAAAGAAGCCCTGGGAATTTCCTCTTAACCCTGAGCTGTGCCAGAATGCCCTGGTAACCTCACGTTGGGGCGGAGCTGGCACAGGGGCCAGATGCACCTGCCCTATTGGATGGCATAATCCTGGTGCCCGTTGATAGATAACTAGAAGCAAGGGAAGCTGGGGACCCACAGCAACTGCTGAGTTCCTGTCACTGCCACCCATTGGACGGCCACCATGGTGCTTCTGCTGGGCTTCCTGCTCCTGTTGGGAGTCACAGGTGAGTAAGGGCCATTAGGTCCCCAGCATCTCTTCAGAGTCTCCTTGGGGTTAACAGAGAAGGTATGGAAAGGACAGGAGCGGGGAGCTGGGAGGGTAGGGAACCTCTGCTGAGAGCCCCTTGGGTGCAGGGTGGAAGGGCTGGGACGGGAACTCGGGTGGGTGGGGGAGCCTGCAGGCATATAAGTGAGCCTCCTGCCTTTTCCCAGAGCACTGGCGCCCAGAGTGCAGAATGTGATTTGTTCATGTCTCTCGTCATGTGTCAGACTCTCTCTCCTTAGTGCCTGTCCAGTCATTTCAAATGCTTGGCCATGCGTGGACTGACTGACAGGAGTCTTATCCACTGGACAGCCAGCTGCTCTGAGCCTTGGAATGGTCCAGGCTGCCCCAAGAGAGGGGCACTGAATGGACACATTCTTAGGTTTAGAGGACAGCCACAGTCAGGATTGCTAACTAAAAGGCAAAAGAAAGCTAGGAAGTAGTGCTGCTTCTTAGAGACCCAGAGCAGAATGCAAAGGGAACTCTGCCCTCTGCTTCAAGTCCGTAATGCATTGGCTGATTATATTTTTCTTTTTCATGAGACTGAATGACCTGGTCATTCCTAAAGGATACACCAGACGCATTGTGTTCCTGTGTCCTCTGTTGTCGGTGGGAAGGCAGTGACGGGGAGGGGGAGATTATAACAATGCAGGGACCAGTCACGTGTATGGTATAACCTGTAATCCCAGCATTTAAACTGAGGCAGGAGGTTGGTGAATCTCTGGACAACCTGGGTTAGATGGAGAGCCCCTCTTGTTAAATGTTCTGAGTTCTGATAGCCTTTCTGCCGAATGATTCTGCTTCCGTTAACACTCTTGGATGCCACAGGTGTGAGCATTACCCATGAGCCAGTGCTCTATTACCAAGCCTCTTCCTTATCTGAGTCTACATGGCTGCCCACACCTTCTGGATACATTAAGCTTGGCTGAAATTTCTGGTAATGCTTCCTGAAAAGATAAGGGACAGTTGCCAGTTTCCCTGGTCCATGCCCAGTGGAGCTGGGGTCGAAAAACACTGTCGCTGGGGAAATATAGTTTAGAGCTATCGAAAGCAGAAATGTGGGAGGAAGGAAGTCATTTATAATAATACCTGCCCTGAAATTGAGGGGTTTTTTTTTTCTGGAAAGTTCCATTTCGATTGGCCCAGTAAGGGCATTCTGATACTGAACACCAATTCTTCCACCCCCTCCTGTGAAGCCACAGTGTCCACTGTGGTCACATTCAATGAATCACACTTGTCACACTGAATCACGCCGTCAGCTTGAATGACTCTGAACAACGTGGCTCTTTCCTTTCCCGGCCTTCAGCATTCTGTCGTTTCTCTGAACCCTTGACGTTCAACCACAGGATGGCATGGGAGTGGGTTCTCCTCCAGTCATTTTCTGCTAGGGGTCTAAATACCTCAGATACCGTGATGTCTGTATCTCTCTCAAGATTTGGGGAATTTCCCTCGTCCCTCCCTTCCTGGGGACTGAATCAAGGGCCCTGAACATGCTATGAAACACTCAGTTGCATTTCCAGCCCAGTTTTTCTCCTAACTGCAATCAATAAATGCATATTTACAGAGTAGCTACTGAGTCCAAGGAACCACATGAAGTGGATTGGAGGACAAAAAAGGAAGAAAGAAAAGCTTGTTTCCAGGGTTTTATTTCCCGTCACATGCATGCATGTCCTTTTAAAAATTTAGTTAAGATATAATTGCCTCATTCCCCCAACCTCCTCCTTCCCCCTTTCCCTCCCATGTCCCCTGCTCTGTCCCAATCCATGGACCTCCTCCTCTTTGATCATTTGCATATAGAGGTAAACAAACATAAATGCAGCCTGATTGGTCCGTTCAGTACTACCTGCAAGTTTGTGTTTCAGGGGTGACCATTTGGTATTGGATCAGGGAGCTCATTCCTTGGGAATTCCTATTCTCCCTCTCTCAGTTGTTAGTAGATTGAAACTCTTCCTCTCGCAGGGGTGGGGCCCATCTGTGTCGGGATGTCGGCTGGAGTTGAAATTGTTCAGGTCTTACTTAGGCAGCCATGTTGTTGAGACTCAGGGCTGTAACTTCCCTGTCATAGCTAGAAGGCACAATCTCACAGCAGACTTCCTGAGTCTCTTCCTCTCCAGGTCTTTCTGCCCATCTCCCTCGCTGTTCACTCAGTCTCTGTCTCACTCAGCAGCAAACTAGCCTTGAACTTGATCCTCCTGCTTCAGCCTCCCTAGACACCAGGTTACTAGTGCTTAGTAGAGTGATTGAATTATTTTCTAGAGTTAATGAAAATGCAGACAGTTCCACTTGTTTTGCCTGAGGAGTCTCAAATTGGCACCTGCATATCGAGTTCCTGGGAATGGGTAGAAATATATCAATTTTATTGAGAAGGAT